TAACATGTTATGCTAATGTGTATAACATGCTATGCTAACATGTATAACATGTTATGTTAATTGTATAACATGCTATGCTAACATGTATAACATGTTAAGCTAACGTGTATAACACAAACGTGCATAACACGTTAAGCTAATGTGTAAAACATGTTAAGCAAACATGTAGAACATGTTAAGCTAACGTGTATAACACAAACGTGTAGAACACATTAAGCTAATGTGTAAAACATGTTAAGCAAACATGTAGAACATGTTAAGCTAACGTGTATTATGTATTGTCAAAAGACCCAGTTTACAGAATATCTTATATGCCTAAAAGATATGGGGAAGACATGTTTTATAAAGCATGCTAATTATGCTACAATAAGAAAAAGACTAAAAAATGTCTTCAGATTGCAAATGTTTTTTTTCTGAGTTCAACAATTATCTGTCATCAAGAATATTTATTTTCATTTATTTTATTTTTCGCTCACCCCTGCATAGAACATCTTGTTGCGGAAGCGACTGTTAAACTTCTCTGGGTTGGCCTCTGGACGAGCAAAAAACAGCAACAAAGAAAGAACAATGTATTAAACTTAGGAGAAACCTGCTAAAATACAAAAAAAAAAAAAAAACAATATACATTGGTGAGGATTATTTGTCTGTGCCGGTTTTAGCATGTCCTGCACTCAGAGTAAAGATGATAAGAAAAGTGGAGAAATGTGCAAAAAAAACTAGACGAGGTGAATTTCTCAGACCTCTGGACTCATGGAACTCCAGAGTGACGTGCGCGTCGAAGCCAAGGCTGAAGTAGTTGTTAAAAACATCCAGGGGAAGCTGCGCCCCAAAAACAAACAAATAAACAAATGAGCAAACAAATAAATCAAGACTAAATGCACAAATATTACTAAGGTTTATTCTGGTTGAAGCACAGCTGACTTTCTAAAAACAAATATTTTCTTTCTGCTTTTATTAACAAACAGTTTTAATGGTAGAAAAAGTATCTTGACTGAACGTTCTCATGTTCTGATCCGAACACAAACAACTCCAAAGGTTCTGTTCTTCTAAGGTGGTTTAATTTCTCCTTCTGAACTCGTTTTCTCTGTGTGGTTTCCGAGCTGCTGGCTGACCTTCTGTGTGCCCTCCTCGGGTTGGACGGAGCTTTTCTCCACCAGGAGGTTCCACCTGTCGAGCTGCACCACCGCGCCGTCCTCCACGTGGCACAGAACCTTCGACACCGGCTCATCGGTGTAACCCTACAAACAAAACCAGTCGTGTCGAGAGAGCAGATTGCTTTATACAACTCGTAGCTGTTTGAGAGCGTTATAATTGTAAACTTCTTGTAAACTCCCACAGTGCCTCTAGAGTGTCCTTGGACACGCTCACCGCCCTTGTCGTCTCCCCTCCCCTGCGGAATGTCTGCGTCACTATGTGCTTATGTGCGGGGTGTTTTTTTTTCAATTTCAGGCCATCTTTTCTCGGCCAAAGAGTGAGAGTCTGTTGGGAATTTTTTTTGCCTCCAAATCCTATACATGTGCCACTTTCATTACTTGTTTGTCTGTTTAAACAGGTCTCACTTGTAAATGAGTCTTCGAGGCTCAATGTGATTTATGTGTACAAATAAAGGTTGAATGGAAAAAAAAAGAACAGTTTCCAGGACAGGAGACATAGCAGGATTAATTTTTATTTGAAATACTTGTGTTGAAAACAAAAATACAACAACAGAAATACCTTCTCTCTGAGTTTCTGTCTGTTTCAGACATTTCTCTGCTTCATCAGAGCAGCTCATTAAACAGCTTCGTTCTCACAGAGCTAAGTTCCAAATCTAAACGACTTTCACTTTAGTCACTGATAATCTCACCGACACGTCCCTGCCTCCGTACTGTAGAGGAGGTGACTCTGAATAGAGACGCTCATTAAAAGCGACACTAATCATTAACGGACAACGTGAAGAGGAATCAGATCAATACGGGTTTGAAATGATTCGTGCAGAGATGTTACGTTTTATCTTCACTATAATCCCACAGAACTGTTCAGAGGGTATATATGTCACAAAGAAAATTTTTATGTTTCAAACTAAACAAAAAACTGCACGTTGACAACAAAAAATAAGATTCAAGCATTAAAAAGGGAGACTATTAGGTTTTTCTAATAACGCGCCAACGTTACGTTTTGCCCACATGCATGGTGAAAATGCTATAAAATATAAATGATAAAATTTGTGAAATTCAAAAGAACTTAAACTATTTGTTATTAGTTCATTAGAGCGACACGTTAAAACAGATTTTGAATGAATTCAGCTCCAAAAGAGCGATGGAGGTTGAGCTGATGAAACCACAAAAACAATTGTGTCTCTCATCCAAGAAGTCTCTCGGATGAGAGATGAAACTTTTCTACATTTTTTTGTTGATTTGCTTTGTTTTTGTTTGTTTTTTAATGTCCAGAGGACCAGATTTAACTTTTTTAGATTTTTCTACCTGGATTATTGAGCATGCATCAGGACACAAAAACAATTCTTAAAAGTCCAACCAAGTTCAGTCAGGCCATCTCTAGACAGTTTATATTTGGTGAGATGTTTCGTCGTTCATCCAAAGGACTTCATCAATCCTACGAGCCACAAACAAACTGAGTCCCACAAGCAGCACACTCACACAGTGGACCCACCAGTTTGTGACACTTCAGCAGATTTTCTACCTGGACTGAGCATGAACTTTGATGTTTTGAACCACTTTGGCTAAGAGGAGTCCAAGCCCTTTGGATGAAGGATGAAATGCCTCAACAACAAAAAAAAAGAAACCGTCCAGATGACCTGACTGAACTTTGCTGGATTATCTACCTAGTTTATTGAGCATGAACTTTGAAATCTTTAAAAGCAACTTTTTTGCACCTGCTGTACTGGTCCAAAGACGAACTGTCCAAGATCAAAACTGACCTGGACCCTGCATGCAACCGCTGTAAACAAACTCCAGCTACGCTCTTACGCACATTCTAGACTTGTCTAAAGCTGCGGACCTACTAGCAATCTATTTTTGATACTTTCTCTGGGATATGTGGAAACACTGTACCCGTCACCACTCAATTCATTGTTTGGGGTGGCCTTTGTGGCTTCACCCTTTAGCAGGTACAAGAGGAATATGATTGTTTTTGGTTTTCTTCTAGCTAGGATATTTATTTTAGGCAGCTGGAAGGATCTGCATCCCATGGCATATGAACACTGGATAAGAAAAGTTAAATGTCATGTTCATCTGGAAAATATTAGATATACCCTGAAAGGTTCTTTTAAAAGATTTTGGGACGCTTGGCAGCCTTTTGTGGCTTAAGTTACAAATATGCCAATGTGTTTGTGTCTGTGTGGCTGATCCGGTGTGGGAGGGGATTTTGTTGTATGCTTTTTTTAATCTTTTTTTTGTGTGTGTTTTTTAAAAAGAAAAAAAACAGACTGATTTTTAATTGTTTCATAGAGCTTGTTCAAAAAATACAGAACTACCTTGGTAATAAAAACTACTAAAGTTGATCAATTTACAACATTTTTGTAATATACAAGGTAGTGACATTTTTCTGAAGTGTTCCACACTTTTATTTTCTTATTGTGAGGCTATTAACTAAATAACCAATTACCCCAAAAGATCTCAACAGAAATAAGAGTGTGATCATTTTGAATGAAAACTGTGATAATTTACTCTGTGTTGTGTGTGTGTGTTGTGTGTGTGTTGTGTGTTGCTGCGAGCCAGTCAAACGGAGGTCAAGGCTTAAAGGATGAAATGCACAGGAAGAGAGTGCAGACATCCTGGAATGTGGCTGAGTTTCTCCCAGAGGTGTTAGAAACGAAGAGACACGATTTATTTTTACAACAAATAAAAATCTGAACATGCAGATAAAAGACAGGTATTTAGTCTAAACATGCTTCTGAATCGTAGTAAATTAGATTAGCGTTATCTTGTTTTAGCTGGATCTCGGTGTTTTCTGTGTGAAAACTACCTGCAGATGCAGTTTTTATATATTTAGAGGGTAAACTGTTGCTTCCTGTCGCTTTCTGTCAACGTTGCAACAAAAGTCAAGGCTGGAAACTCACCCCGCCCCAGTTGAGCGTCCTGGCGAGGTCATTTCCTGTTCCCAGAGGAAGCACAGCGACCGGAGGCTGGGGATTCATCTGCAGCTCATCGAGAGCCGAGAGGATCCACCCCACCTACAGAGAGGAGTACACAAACCCCACCACCAACAAGCTCCAGAAATTTGACCTTACACTTGATTAATAGAAAAAGAGAAGAGCAGATGAAAGCCTCACTGTTCCATCGCCACCGCAGGCCAGGATCCTCAGGTTTGGCACTTTGCGATACAACTCCAACCTGACGATAAAAAAAAAAAAAGGCAGAAAGCTGAATGAGAGCCGTATTAAAAAAAATAAAAAAAAACATTTATGATTAAATCTGGACTGAACAGATCTGATTATTTCCTCTCACAGTAAAATATAATTTAGGATTATAAATCCAGTTACTCACGCCTCTCGAAGTCCACCTTGGGACAGGTCAAAGACTTGTCGAGGGTTTAAGATCCACATGAACATCTGCACCAGCTTGGCACCCTGTAGGTGGAGAAAAAATGTTTTAAACTCGTTTATTTAACAAAAAGAAAGAATATAGTTCACACAATGTATGAAGTTTAAACCCATAATTAATTAAATTAATAAGTGTTTGGTCAAATGTTTATATAATAAAGACGTAAAAGATGATAAGCATCTAAACCTAAAATCCCTTTAATTTTATAATCAACTCCATCAGTTGATCCGATTTATTAAATCCACACTTAAATAAAGAAATTACATTTCCTGTGAAAATGTAGTGTAAATACTTATTGCAGAAGAATTTGCTATAAAAAAAAAACAGCTGAAATTAGCTAAAGCATGCTGAAATGAAAGAACAAGTCTAAAGTAGCTGAAAAACCCCAGAAAAACACACATTTGCTGAAATAGATTTAAATAAGCAGAAATTAGCACAGAAATTAGGAAATTAGCTTAAATAAATGGCTGAAAAGTTGCTGAAAAGGCAGAAAGAAGTTTAAACTACCAGAAGGAAGCAGAAACAGCTGAAATGAGCTCCAAAAATGTGAAATTAGGTGAAAAAGCTAAACTTAGCATAAACCCAGCTATATCGTAGCAGAAATAGCTGAAACAAGCATAAATAAGCTGAAAAGAGCACAACAAGCTGAAATTATCATAAAGAAGTTAATTAGGCTAAAAGTAGCAAAATTACCACAAAAAAATTGAACTCATCTGAAAACAGCTGAAATGAGATAAATATGCTAAAAAGGTAGCAGAAAAGTTAGAACAAGCTTAAGTTAGCAGAAGCAGAAGAACATGTTTGCCCAATTAGCCGGAAAGAAGCAGAAATTAGCACAAAAAAGTGAAAATTATCTGAAAATAGCTGAAATTAGCAACTAAAAAAGGCTGAAAAGTAGCCAAAAACAACCATAAATAAACTGATATTACAAGAAGGAAGTGGAAAGAGCACATTTTTTTATGAATTAGGCTGAAAAAAAAAGTAGAAATGAGTGCCAAAAATGTGGAATTAGCTGAAAAAGCTTAAATTAGCGTAAAGACATAGACAATAGTAGCTGAAATAGTAGAAAAAGCTGAAACATGCAGAAATAAGTTGACAGGAGCACAACAAGCTGAAATTAGTAGAAAGTAGTTGACAAAAAGTTTAAATTTGTACAAGGAAGCTGAAAGAAGAACAAAATGTGAAAGGAGCAGTAAAAGGTTGTAAACAGATCTAAAGATCTGAAGGAGGTAAAATGAGCTCAATTAATTTTCTATGAGGAAAAAATGGCAGAAAAGGTTAAATATTTCAAAAAGCTAAAGTTGCACCAATACCAAAAATCATAGAAGGATTGCCTTAAAAGAGCTGAACATTTAGATTTATGATTTGTTGAAATAGCTTAAAAACTGCGGGACGAGAATCACAGAAAAACATACGGAAGAAAAATAAATCACAACAGAGTGAATGCTTCATAAACAGTCACACAACTAGTTGTGCCTTTGAGATAAGACCAGCAGATTAACAGATCTGCTCACCTGGTTGCCCCCACTCTTGGGATTAACAAAAACCAAGATGGGTTTCATCAGAGGAGAAGGGAGGGGCTTCAGTATGAACGGACGCCATTTGGAGTCCTGAGCAGAAAACGAAAGCAGAGAAGAGTAAAAAACAAAAAAAGTTTTATCATATCAGATCCTTACACTCCTTCAGGTGATGCATCTATAGATGGAGCTGATTTGAGGCCGAGCCACATCGTGAATAAAAGCAACCAGTGAAGGTCTGACTCACCACGTCTGTCTAAAGATACGACGGGGTCTCGATTTTCTTTACATCAAAATTCTTAAATCCTCTCAGTCTGTTGCTCTCAAAGTTTTGCTAAACTAAATGTACTAGTCCAGCAGCATGTTCAGCCCAATCAGTGACATCACAGTCAGTCTGCTGTTTTGTTTTTGTTTAAGATTGTATCTTTTGGTGCCTGATGTTTACATTTCTATAGAATTGTGGTTTTATTTCACAGCTCACGTGTCACTCCTGACCCCTGTTTAGATGTTTTTTGTCCCATTTTTACATTCTGAATTCTGTTAGGAAGAAACTGTTTTATTTTGAAGAACCTTGTTAGTTGTACTTCCTGCCATGCAGCATGTTTTTAGCATTTAAAATTTTTTGGGGTTCTTTTAATCTGACCACTGGCTCCTTCCCTTAACTTTATCCTATTGCAATCAAAAGAATTGAACTTGAACTTACTCTAAACTTACAAAAATGTACACAAGTTGCACCCGATGTTTATTTTTTAATTAAATAATGTAGCTAATTAATAATCCATGTCGTCAAAAAGCACTCCAGATGGATTTAACTGGTCTTAGCGGAGTCAGAGGCTCATTCCCTTCATTTTTGGTGGTAAATAAATAATGTAAACACATTTGTTCCTTTGTGTACTAAACCCACACTGGATATGAATGAAACGATCTGATGACATCACTCACGTCCAGTCCTTTCTTGCTCGTCCTTCGTTTGAAAGATGTCCTCTTTTTCCTCCGGGCGGAGTTCTTCAGGGAGCTCTGGGACGCGGACAGAGTTCGACGGTTAGTTCACTGTCACCACGTTTGTTGTGACTCTGATTAGACGTGTAATGAAGCATGCGACGTGATGCAGCATCCATTTTTCTGTGTTACTGTGTGTGGGGGGTCAACAGTAAGCGCCCCCAGACATCCGTCAAACTAAATCCCATCGTGTCTAAAAGCACGGACACGAAGCGTTTGACAGAACCTCCTTCAAATTTAGATCCAATCAAGTCATTTTGGATTAGTGTCACTAAATGACAGCTGGTGAACTTTATTAACTGGGGGGCTAGCTCGTGTCTTCACCTGCGGTTTCCTGACTTTGATGATCCAGGAGGGGGGGACTATGACTCCGGCGTGGGCCCCCAGTGAGCACGGCTCCTCGATCTGGTGCAGCATGAAACACGTCACCTTGTTGTGGAACTGCAGGACACAAACATCCTCGTCAATAAGTTGTTTTACAGGACGATCAGTGAGAATGAAGTCAAATTGCAGATTTGGAATGTTAATGCAGGAGCATCTGTGTTGAAATTTGTGCAATAATATATAAAATATAGCTTTCCGATTTAAAATGTATTCTTTTTTTTTTTTTATGATTCCTAAATGTAGTTGAGCAACCAGACAACCAACATTAATACTAAAAGAAGCATTTGCAGGCCTGGAACAGATAGTCAACAAAATGTTGCTTATTCAACAAAAAACATAAACAATAAGTTAAAGATTAAAATATTAAGATTAAATATTGTATATAAATATATAGTTTTTTTTGCACAAAAGAAAAAAAAAATCTTGATCTCCTATTACTCACATTTGTGCTAGTTGCCACTATCAGATCAGAAAGATGATTGATTATTTGTGGATCAAAAGTCAGTTTTAAAGACCACTTTAAATAAAAATAACCATGAGAGAGGCATCAAACTGCAGTACAGTAGTCCCTCGCTACTTTGCGGTCTCGCTCTATCGCGGTTTTTCAAAATAAGACTGGACATGACACACAATTGGCTGATTGATGGATGAGCCGCACGATCGGCATGGAATTTTTATTTAAAATAAATTATTTTTAATTATTTAGCACCTGCTGCATATTTGTGCAGCTCATACTGCTGCAGTTGATCAGCTATTCAGCGTGCAGAGTGGAGAAGTGGGCGTGGCCAAGAGCGCTTGCAGGTGGCAAAGAGCAGAGGAGGCACGGAGCAGAAATCGTGACATTCTGTGCTCTTTTAGAGCTTTAGAGTTTAGAAACATTGTTTAGAATATTACAAGAGTGTGGGAAGAGTTTAAAATGCTTATATATATATATATATATATATATATATATATATATATAAACTTGTACTAGTATTCTTACTTTGTGGTTTTTCACTTATCATGGGTCTTCAGGGTACAAATCCCCCGCGATAAACGAGGGATTACTGTAATGTACAAAAATACCTCCTGACACCAAAACTTAATACTACAAGACCCTTTATCAGTAGGAAGTGAAAGATCTCACTGTTGATGTAGAAATAATAACAATTATTTTGCTGAAATAAATCTGAAACTGACAAAGTGAAATTTTTTCTTTCAGGACATGACAATAAATAGGCTTCATTTTTATTAAAACTACTATAACTGTGAGTAACTTCAGTACTTACAGCCTGTTTACACCAAGAGCAGCTGATGGCGATGATTTCTTTACTGTGGAAGAACTTCTGTTGAAAACTCTGACAGAATAAAACAAACAGTAAGATCGAAGGAGAAGAAATAACCGTCTGGACCTGTTTGAGTGGACCCACCTTTCCACACTGTTTACACTTCCCCTCCTGCCTCCGTCTGTGAACCCAGTGATGTCTCAGTACATTCTGCAGTCAGATAATCACACACATCGCTGTGATTCGTCACGTTTACGGCCGCGTACGTATCCACAGAAACACAGAGGAAAACTCACATCTCTGAGGCACCGGGATCCCCCCTCTCTGAAGGTCGGCTTACATCTGAAGTTAATCTGGAGGGAGAGACTGTGTTCATGTGTCTGCATGCTTTTTATTTCCATCTTAAATGCGGTTCAACAGAATTGGACAGGAACAAGATTGTAGATCTAATTTGCAGGAATAAGTGTCAGGCGTGAAGGATGAGCAGCTCGTGTGTTTGTGTACCTTTTCGAGCTGCTCTATGCAGCCGGTGTGAACGACGATTTTACAGGCGGCACATTTCTTCCTGGGGGCCGACTTCTTAAAGGAGACAGAAGGAGCAGAGAGGCGAGTAAGACGCAAAAATACACACGACAAACACAAGCCATGAGGAAAAACACACTTTCTAAACAACGGCACGAGTTTCACCGACTTGAACTAAAATGCGATTGTTACATGAGACTTTATTGAGTTTAGGTCTGTTGAATTACAGTATCTGTTTTTGATGATTTATTGCAAATATAACACCTAAAAAATTAACTGTTTAACAAAACACCTGATTTTTAACCCAACTTGGTTTATTTCTGAATAAAGCAATAATTTTGTTCCCAAGTAAGAAAAATCGGATGCTCAGCCTGGATCTTAGTTTAACTGAACCAAACTATTTAGGCCAAATATTCTTAGTCTGATGAGTTTCCATTCATTAACAAAACAGACAACAAAAATATCTTATATAATAAGATTTGTGCTTCTTATTTTGAATTAATCCAAGAAAATCAGACTTTTTAAGCAAAAAATGATTAAAAAACAAAACATTTTGGATCAAATTAATTCTAAGACCTGAAACAGCACAACTGTTGACAAGTGACACCTTGATATTTGACATTTTGAGTTACCGTATTTTTCAGACTATAAGGCACACTTAAAATCCTTTAATTTTCTCAAAGATCGACAGTGAGCCTTATAATCCGGTGCACTTTATGTATTAATTCTGGTTGTGCTTATTAACCTCGAAATGATTTTATGTGGTTATTGTGAATGAGTGAATCAAGTTTGACTTATCCAACTGTTTTGGTTCGCTTAATGCACCTTATAATCCGGTGCACCTTGCGTTTGAAAATAGGCCCATTCATTGATATTGCATCTTATAATCTGGTGCACCAAAAAATATGGTAACTGACTTCTCTCATCACTTATTTAAAGAGAAAAATGATTATTTCAGGCATGACATCTCAGCTTCCTGCACCTTCAACCAATCAGACACAGCAGGAACACCACAGACAGCTGGAAAATATTTTGCGTTAGGATTCATGTAATTGTGACTTTGTCAAGTTCAAACACCAGATAACAGCTGTCCTCGCACAGCAGGGCAGCTGTTGCAAAAAATGGCTAAGAAACAACGTGGCGAGTCCCAAACAAAGCTTTTAAAGGTTGTCCAAATTCCCCCTCATTCTGAATATAAATTAACTGAATGTTTCATATACAATCCACTGAGGCCCAACCCAGAAACCCAGAGAACCTAAAAGACCTGCTGGTAATGTCCCAGAAACCGCAGGACACCTCAGAGGACACGTATTTGTGCCCAACAGGTCAGAGAGAAACCTCAGATCACATACACAGCACAACCAGAAATAAGACACACCCTTAGGACTTTGTTGGACCACCTTTTGCTTTGATTTTGACACACATTTGCGATAGCATATTCCTAATAAGCCTATTTTCTGTCAGAAGATGTATTTTTGTCCAGTAGGAGAGTTACATCACAGAGTTGAATATTTAAGAATCTCAGAGTTGTGAAGGTCTGAAACTTCTTGTGGCTAATCACTGAGTGTACACGATGTCTCCTGCTTCCTGAACACAAACTGTTTTTATAACCTAAGCTGGATGAAACTCATCATCAGGAAAAAAAAACACAAGTTATTCAGGTTTTCTGCTGGAACCTGTTCACATAAATCAACTTTGAATCTTTTTTCAATTCAGTTCAACCATTAGGTTAGTTATGGTTAGTTCCCATTGAGCCTCGAGGACTCGTTTACAAGAGAGACCTATTACAGACAAACAAGTAGATAGGGAAAAGATAAACACGAGGGAATGGGAGGTAAACAAAAAAAACATATCTCGCACTATGTCCTGACTGAGGCACAGTGTGAAAGTAGCAAAAAAAAGACGTTGCACATAAACAGCAACATACTAATGACATCATAATACATTTATGCATAAGAAGAGGCCGGCAAAGGCGGTGAGTTGTCCGTGGACACTGCCAAAAATTTCCATAGTCCTGATATGAAATGGTACAGTGTATCAGCCAGCTCAGCTCTGATATAGGTTCACAGATGTTCTTGGTAAGGGCGAGTGGCGGGGGAGCAGAGCAGAGCTTCTTGTTCACATAACCACCAGGAGAAATTTGAGATAGTTGGCCTATTCAAGACCAAGCGGGGACGTCAGATTCAGATAACATTTGTTTTGGGACAGGCCGACTCTGCTTGATTTTTTATCTGCCTTCATAGTTCTGCTGGTACATCTCAAATGGTAACTCCAAACAGCCAAATTTTGTAGTCACTCCGCCGGGCCATGCTTGTAGCCTTCTCTAAGGTTGAATCCTTCACGCCAGCGAGTTCCAGGAGCCGCAAGTGGCCTGCAATTCTCAGAAATCGCACCCAGTTTATGGTTTAGCCCACAAAGTGTTTGAGTCTGAGTGTTCAAAGCACGACACATTCCTTCACACAAGGCAGGCAGTCTCACAATTGCCAGAACCACTGCCAACATCTTCCGAGTTTGTTGATATACCAGATACCCGCTAGCTCCAATAAGCAGAAATCTTATTATCATAAACCCAATTATGTACATGCATCTTCTACATCCTCAATAGACAATACGGACAGACACACCATCTTCCACTGGCCCCAGGAATCCATAGTGTATCCAGCTGCGAGTGTCCCTTCAGGGCATGAGGGCTCTCCTTCGCCCTGTCCTCTCGTTGAAAAAATTCTATCAATTGCGTTGAGAGACCTGCTCACCAAAGCCATAATTTACAATTCGGATGATATGTAAAGAGAGACTCCCAAAAAAAGATTTACAGGACAAGAGAACAGAAGCAGGAGGGAGGCAGAAGCGGGTGGAAAAGCGTCCGTCTTTGCCGAGAGCAAGCAGGAAGTGATTAATGCTTTGAACAGTGATGTCTTGACTCATCAGATCAAATGACCTGTTTCCAATCTCTCCAGAGACCAACTGTTATACCCTTTGCTAAATAAAACCCCTCTTTTTTATCAATGTCATTAACAAGACTAAGCTTGATTTGATGCTCTTTGCCATGGATAGACAGGACAATCAAAGACCAAAAATTCATGAATAAAATTGTAAAAATCTTGCGATGGACTGGTAACCTGATCAGGCAGCCTCTCATCAGTTTACACATACCTTCAACTCTTTATATTTACCTATTTATATTATTACAGTACATTTATACTTTTACTTACATGTCTACAGCTCCAAAGAAGAACCATAACTGAGAGCAGCGAGACAGAAGTTGATAAGTCTGCTCAGCCGTAAGTCTTTTAGCACGACTTGACTGGTAAAATAAAAGCAAACACTTATGATGTCAAAGGGCAATTAACCTTCAATGGATAATATATCCCTGCTGGACTGGCTCTTACACTCTGACAAACACATTATTATGAGTAATAATATGGCGGTTAATAATGGAGGGGACTCATCTCCAGCCAGAGGTGTCACTCTAAACTACAACAGAGAGCAATGCTTATTTATCGAGTGCATATCAATAAAGAAAACCATCCTCAGGTTTTATCTTAAAGCAGTTCTGAATGTCCCCTGGCTGAAACCAGAACCTCTGTATCGTCCAAAAGGTTGACCACCTTCAATCTAAGACAGCTTTGCTTCAAATGGTCCAGACATGAGTGAAGACATGTCTCCGTTATACATTTGTTCGAAGGCACGTTGGAGTCACTTTACTTTCAGTTTAGCAATTCAATGACTTGCTGACAGGAAGTGTTTTTTTTCTTTGCATCCAAGTACAGCATGACTTATGATAAAGATTACCCAGAACAACATGCAGCTAGCTCAGTTTCTTATGTTCAAGCACAATGTGTAACTTTTATTAATTCACACTGAAATGTAACTAGCCCACAGGACTAACAGTTTCTGGAAATATTCACCTTGTAATGAAACTAAAACACAAACTTTAACTTAAACTTGATATTTAATCTTATTTTTTTTAGACCGACTACAATTTCAGTGTGGATTATTGAATTTACAGGTTGCAATTGTATTCGTCACAAATCTCCATGTGGTCGAAGAAAAAAATTAAAGCCTTGTAAGGCCTTCCCGAAGGCCCAGAGCCCCGTCTTTTGGTCCCACCCACTCAACATAAGCATTCTGATTGGTTTATTTTCCTGCCATTCATCAAACAATCATCCTGGAGGAACTCTGAGCTCAGCCTTCTCTCCTGACTGTGAAGTCCTGACCAATGAGCAAGCTCGTTCAAACATGTTTCCACCTGGAGACAAAAATGTAAAATCATCTGAGTGGATAACTATATTGTCATGAATTAAAAACTGTGCAAAGCAGTTTACGGAAAAAAAGCCCCAAGTGTTTTCCCACTGATTTACTGCAACTTTTATCAGACTCCCTTCACATTACAAACAAATAGAAAATTATTTTTACTCTATGACTAGTTTGTTATAGAAAACTGACTCCATCTTTACATTAATGTTCATATAAAGAAGCATATTTTAATAAAATGCTTGTTCTCTACAAATAACTTGGCTTAAGCAAGCTTACTTATATTTATATTTTTTCCACATTTGTTTAATCGTCATGGATCGTCTAAAAATTTTGGTCAGTAAAGGTGACTAAAATAAGCCTTAATAGAGGATTGTTGTTTTTTAAAAAAAGAGTCAAATGAGTCTAAAATCAATCATCAGAGGCAAAAGAAAGGCTGTTTTTGTGTGTTAAGAAACTTTAGCAGTATCCTTCTTTTTTTTTCTATCCCAAGCTGCTAGATATTTAACATTTAACACATTAATCCCTTTTGTTCTTTTTCAGACATTTAATATCCATTTAAGTTACTCCTGATGGAATTGTACAGATAAATCTAATTATTGTCAGAACTAAAGAATGTTTCGCAGCTCTCTGTTTTAGGCGCTTTTGTCCTTAAGAGGCAAAGTGGACAGACAAGAAAGTTTACAACACCTATAATTTAAACATTTTCTCCACATTCCCACATGCTTGTGGTTAATGACTCTCGGGGAGCAACATTTCTATCTGAGTGATTTATATCAGCTCTGGTTAAAACATTGGCAAGTTTTTCACCTCCAGGTTTAACTTCTGACAAACCACTGCTGCTGATCAAATGTGAACAAAAGGAGTTCCTGGTTAGTCCATACATAGCTGCTGTAACAAAAACTTGCAGACTAAATATTCAAAGGGTCAAACTTACCATGAAATGAGTGGAAAAAAGGTTGCAAAAATTAAGAAATAAACACAAAAGTTCTAGTTTAAAGTAGCATTTAATAATCCAAGATCAAAGCCAACCTGGACCCCGCATGCAATCGTTGCAAACAAACTCCAGCTACACCCCTGCATATATTCTGGACCAGTCCCAAAGTGCAGACTTTTTGTCAATCTATATTTCACACCTTCTCTGGAATATGTGGTAAAATCTTACACTCATCACCACTCATCGCACTGTTCAGGGTGGCCCCTGGGAATGCATCCTTCAGCAAATGTGAGAAGGATGTGATTGCCTTCGGCTCTCTTCTGGCCAGGAGGCTAATTTTGTGCAATTGGAAGGACCCACACCCCCCAGCATACGTACATTAGATAAGAGGTGATGTGCTATATCCAGCTGGACAAAATAAGATACACTCTGAAGGGGTCTGTCAAAAGATTTTGGGACATTTGGCGGCCATTTATGTCGTATGTCGATTTATATGTTTATATGTTCTTTGTTTTCTCTTTTAATTTTCTGTTTGTATATTTAAAAAAAAACAACTTTGTTTAAAAAAAGTTTAATTTAATTATAATGCATAAAAAAGCATTGTAGCCAAAAGTAGAATGGTAATTGTATGTAATATATCTGTATAGTGTAAATATTGTGGTGACTGTGTTAATAATTACTGATGTTTGCAGTATTAAACATATGCCAGGGAAAAGCTACACACCCACGAGGAAATAAAGCAAGTTGGCAAGAACAACTTCATATATCTAGACACTTAAAGTGAAAATACACATCAGTGTGGGCTTTCCATTTACTAAATACTATGAGCTAAAATAAATAAAAATAACAGGAACAAAGTCTTTACTGAAGTTCAGATGGTCTGTGTGTGAATGAACCAGTCTGACAAGGTTTTCATCACTCACGAAGATTTAAATCATCATAAAGATGTTTATCTGACAACTTCATTTCTAGTTTTCTGCAACATAATTTTAACTACTCTTTCTTTATCCCTATAAACCTAATCAAAGCTATGTTTGTTACATCGAAAATACAAATAGATGAAGTAAATATGGCGCCGTGTCCATAAATAAAATTTAGCCAATTTTATCAGCTTAAATACAAGTTTTATGTCTTCTCAGCATTAGTATTCAGTCTGGATTCCACGTTTCACTGAATTATTTAGACGAAATTCGAGGAAAGGATCCAGTCAAAGGAGCATACAGGATTAGATACCCAGAAAAATGTCGGCCCAAGTGAGGTTTTATCTCCCAGTTTCCATCGTGCAGAAATTAATGAATCTGTATGATGTAATACTCACTGCAGTCTTCAAGAGGCAGGCGTCCTCTCCGAGGTAACACAGCTCCCCTGAACAACTCGTCTCCATCCACAGGTGATCGCCGTTCACGGCGTTCTCCTGCAGGGTCACAGAGGAGAGGCAGAAGCAGAGGGGAGAATTATTATTTAATAAGGTGCTATCGCCCTTTCGCGTGTCTCGCTGATTATTTTTTCCGTCCCCAGAAAACCGCAGCCACGTGAACACTCAGCCGAGATCGCAGCCAATAATCGTGTCAAGCACATAAGTGCAGCTGCTGAGTGGGTGGGTTATTTCACAGTGATAATCAAAACAGCACAGAAGCTGCCGTTAGCATGCAACAAACACAATGCAGCGTCAATCTGCACGGACGCAAACACAGGAAGGTTTACGTGTTGGTGGAACAGATGACAAACTGTGTTTTAAACATGGTAGACTTTATGTTTTATTCATATATTCCATTTAAGTTGTTATTAAACGCACATCATGTCAAGTCTGCAACGCTTTTAAAAAGTTATGTCGTTTTTCCATTTCTTTAAAGATATTCTAACGATAAAGCATTTCAGTCTCTTCCTGGAAAATGCACCTCAAAGCATGCAGGTTTTACAAGTCTTCACGAGTTCTCTTTTAGAGACAGGTCAGTGAGGTACTCGTCCCCTCTTTGTTCTCAGACGTACTTTTATAAAGTATGGGGACTGGAGCGTTAAATTACTTTGGTGGATAAAAAACAATCGGTGCGAGAGTTTGGTTCACATGGCCAGCAGTAAGTCGAACCCCTTCAGGGTGGGAGTTGGACTCCGCCAGGGCTGCCCGTTATCACAGATTCTGTTCATAACGTTTATGGACAGAATTTCTGGGTGCAGTCAGGGGGCGGAGGGTTTCAGGTTCGGTGGCCTCAATAAACAATTATAAAAAGTCATACTGCAGGTTTTTTTTTTTTTTTTTTTTTTTACAAATAGGATGGCTAAAAGAAAAAGGTAACAAAAAAAAACAGCTAGATTCTAAGGCGAATGTAGAAAACTAAAAACAGGAACATGTCTGCATTGGTCCCTGCCAGGAGTCCAACAGATTCTTAAAGCCACTTAGAGAGGACAAGGTCGAGAGCTTCAGATCTTTTTGTAAGATATTCTAAGAAACAGGAGCAGAGTAGGAGAAGGCCCTTTTGCCTAGTTCAGTCCTCATTGAGGGAACACTGCAGGTAATAATGTCCTGAGAGCACACGCTGTAGCTGCACTCACGCAGAGACATGTAGGAGGAGATGCATGAAGGCAGCAGACCAAGAAGTGATTTAAAGATGAAAATGTACCAGTGAGAGAGTCAGCGTGAAGTTAACGATGTCCAGTTAACCAGTGAATACAGGGTGCAGTGGTGGGTACGATGATCACAGCCAGTTATGAATCTTAGTGCACCATGATAGACGGCATCCAACATCTGCAGGGTTCTTGTAGGAGCGTTCATGTAAATAATGTCACCGTAATCAATGGAGGGAAGGAAAGTCACAGATACAAGGTGTTTTCTAGCATTCAGGGTTAGACAGGATCTGTTTCTGAAAAAGAAACCCAGTTTAACTTTCAGTTTCTTTACCAAGTTTTCCACATGGAGCTTAAAAGAGATGTGAGTCGACCAAGATACCCAAATATTTATAGGAATCAACAAACTCAATGGAGACACCATTTGAGGATGAGATCAGAGGAAGAACTGCTGGGACCAACTTCCTATTTGAAAAAAGCATCCCTTTGGTTTTGTCGGCATTTAGGACAAGTTTGAGGCGGAACAAATCAGTCTGGATGATGTTGAATGCAGATTTCAAAAGCTGGAAAGCCTTAGCAACAGTTTTAGCTCGGCAATAGACAACCGTGTCATCAGCATAGAAATGTATGGATGCATTAGGAATGTTTTTACCTAGCAGTCATACTATTGTGATCCATTTTTCTTCCGTACGATTTTGGCATCTTTCTCGTCCTGCAGTTTTCAAGCTATTTCAACAAATCATATATTAAAACGTTCAGCTCATTCAGGAGAAGGGTGCTTGAAGATTAATATCTTTTTTGAAATATTAGCCTCGTCTGCCACATTTTTTTTCTCATAGAAAATGAATTGAGCTCATTTTCCACCCTTCAAATCTTTAGATCTGTTTACAACCTTTTACTGCTCCTTTCACATTTCATTCTGGTTCAGCTGCTTTCAGCTAATTTCAGCTGGGGGTGGGGTTTCAGCCGTTTTCTGCTCCTTTCAGCTAAATACAACATTTTTATGCTTCTTCTAACTTCTTTCTGCAAAATTCAGCTTGTTATGCTCCTTTCAGCTTATTTATGCAAGTTTCAGCTTTTACTGCTATTTCAGCTACTATTTAGCTGTTTATGCTAATTTTAGCTTTTTCAACTAATTCCACATTTTTGGCACTCATTTCAACTTGTTTCAGCCCAATTCAGCAAAAATGTGCTCTCTCTACTTCCTTTTGGTGTAAGCTTCTTTCTGCTTTTTTATCTACTATTCAGCTGATTTTTGTTGTTGTTGTTGTTGTTTTAATTTTAATAGCTAATTTCAGCTTTTTTCAGTTAATTCCCACTTTTTTGTGCTCATTTCTGCTTATTTTGGCCTAATTGGGCAAACATGCTCTTTCTGCTTTCTTTGGGTAATGTAAGCTTGTTCTACATTTTCAGCTAGCATTTTAGCATTTTTAGCTCATTTCAGCTGTTTTCTTTTAAAGTCACGTTTTTTGTGTTAATTGCTGCTACTTTCAGCCTAATTCATTTTTTATGCTACTTTTAGCTTGTTACGCTCCTTTCAGCTTTTTAATGCTCTTTAAGCTACCAGTACTATTTAGTTCTTTTGATGCTATTTTTAGCTTTTTCAGCTAATTCCACCTTTTTTTTTTAGCTCATTTCAGTTCTTTCCACTTCCTTCTGGTAGTTTAAGCTTCTTTGTGCCTTTTCAGCAATTTAATTTTTTTGCCAATTTCTTATTTTTTAAGCCCATTTCTGCTTATTTAAACCTAATTCAGCATGTGTTCTTTCTGCTTTATTCTGCTAATTTAGGCTTGTTTTTCCATTTCAGCTAAATTTCAGCATGTTTTTAAACTAATTTCAGCTGTTTTTCCAGCAAGTTATTCTGCAATACGCATTCACACTGCATTTTCGCAGGAAATGCAATTTCTCTAGTTCAATTTGTTTAAATTATTGTTGGATTAATTTGCATAAAGTTATTTAAACTAAATGGATTTTTTTTTCCAAACAGGAAACTTAAAGGTCTAAGTGACAGGAAGAAATGGTTTAGGATTATTTTACAATACAATAAAATTAAATTAAAACAGATTTCAGTAGATGACTACCCACGTCTTCATTACACTGCTCATGCTTTAAGACATGTTCTTTGTAAAATTCGTAAAAAATAAGGATTTCAATCTTAGACACACCAGATGGCATTTCAATAAAAATTAAAATGCCAGCTAAAAGTTGTTTTTTTGACTGTCTAATGTATGTCGTCGAGTACTTTCCTTTCCCTCTTGACATTTTCCTCAATAGCGCAGCAACACTTCGAAGCAGAAAGCATCTTGAAGATGCTTTTCAGTTCCGTGATTCATGTTTTGTAAATAAAATCCATTAAGTTCTGCAAAACAGACCCTGAAAAAGTCACATCTGGCGAAGTCGTGACGGACCAAACTTTTTCTCCCACGCTGCCAAGACATGTAGTTGCACTAATCATAAAGAGGAGGAGAAAATTGCTGCTTGTCGCTTCCTCTGGAACATATGGCTGCAGAAAAGTCTGTTAATAAATCTGTTATATTAAAAATCCAAATGTCATTGAGTGACTCAGCCAGGCATTGGAGGGAAACGGTAGACCGAATCTTTCCGTGCAGCTTTTGTAACTCTTCATGTTTTAGTCGTATTTTCCAACACAAATACACAACAAAACACATAAACAATGACACTTTAGAATCAGTGTGTGTGACTCACCGTCCAGTCCACGCAGGCACGTAGCTCCTTGCTGGGGCCGTTGGACGCTGGAGGAAGTGTTTGCTGGGGTGGGCCGAGGTAATGGAGGCCTGAACGGGAGATGGCTTTCCTAAAAAACAAGCAGCAAATAAGTGATGATTGTTTTTGTACGTGGCTACAAGCTGCACCAGAAAAGATGCATAAATCTGCCCCGTCACGCTCACAGCCTACAGAGCAGCTGTATCAACACGAGAGCCCCAGTTCAGTTTGTAAAATAACCATTTGCTTCCAGCTCGGCTACAGATATTTGGTTGAGGAGGACTGGGAACAGCTTGGGGGTGAAACTGCCAGCGGCACTTCATGGTGAGGAGAAAAGAGTTGGGAGCTGGTCTGTTCTGTTGGAGGATGTCTCACTAGTCATCTCTGCCTCCATGCTTGACTCAATCCAATACTTCATCTTCCTCTTTTAATTCTCTCATCTCATCTGCAAAACCAATTTCAGTTTCTGCTGAACTGGACAGAAAATGACTAAAAGCACCCAAAGTCTTTCAAAAAATTGACTTCCTAAGACCTGCAGAAGCTTTGACCTGTTGACAAAAACCACTAAGCAAATAAAAGAAAGTCTGGCTGCTTGGAGGCAAAGTATAAAGACATAAGAGTCAAAGCTTTTAACAGAAAAGATATACCGTACTTGCTGCCATAGAAGTCGCATCAGTCCAAATACAGCATGTCTAATAAAGTGGAAAAAACATAAACACGTCGCTTCGCCGTATAAGTCACATCTATTATGCGTCACCGCTGACAACCCGGAAACGTGGGCTGGTGTTGTGCCTAAATCAATTGGCTGAAAAATGGCGGCCACGGGAGCATGCACAGGAGGACTTTAACAAGAATTAACAAGAAAAACACTTTAAAACAATTACTTGTTTGTTCAAAATTATAGTAAAGGTGTGTCTCAGTTTAACTTTTTCTTAATAAATGCACTTTAATGGTCAAATCAGCTGAATTTCTCCTGGTTGGTGTGGCGAAATGCAGCTGATTTGGAGTTCTCAAGCGAGATGAAGGTGGCTCTGTATGGCAAGCCAAGTGTCTCATTAATAACCACTTTTACTTATTAATGAGACACTTGGCTTGCCATACTACTCAAGTGCCCTCTAGTGGCTGAAAATGTTAGTGTTCAATATTTTCCACGTCAGAATGAATTAAATCGTCAGATCTCAGCCAAAAGTTCAGTTATAAATATGGGGAAAAAAACGTAAACACGTCGCTTCGCTTTATAAGTCACAGGCATGCTAATTTATGCAAAAAAACTTTGGTTTAAACAGCGAAAATTACGGTATATGCACATTTAGACATTTGCATATTTTGTGTGACTACATCTGTAGAACATCAAGTTTCCTAATGTGAAATGAAAAGCACAAAACTGTAACGACAGGATGAATCAACACGTGCGTCTATCAGTGGAACAAGTTGCACAAAACAGCCGACTCCCTGCTGCTGAAAGTTTTAGTGGCCGACTAAAACCCGGACAAAGAGGAGTCCCCTTACACACCCCGTAACCTGACCGTACCTTAACACACACACAAAGGTTGAAAACACACACACGTGTGCACGCGGTCACGACTCTTGGGCTAAAAATAGTCCTGCGTGGGTGACAAGAGAACAAACGCAAGGACGTATGGTGACTGGACCCAAGCCAGAAAAATGTGGAAACACATAGATACACACTTGCATATGATATATTTCAATAATTATTTGTGTTTCACTTTAAAAATTTTTTTTACAGTTTTATCTGAAGCTGCCACTGAGCTCTGAGGGCACTCAAACAGCCCATTTGGTAAAGAACACAAAGTTTTCATGAAACCAACTAAGAGAAATGAAAGTAAAAGCAGAAAGTGTCTGAACATGCATCAAAATAAAAAAGAAGTTTTGTTTTTTGTGTTATGAGTATGATGGTTAAAAAGCCACAGAAAAGAGAAAATTAAACATTTACATCCTGTGGACTTCATTTTTATCATCAGACAAGCACAACATAGAGGCTTTCAACTTGTGTCCACAGAACTCTGAAAAACAAAAGTAAAAAGCTGTTAAAAACTAAAATTCAGATTCATATTTTTGCAACAAAACGCAAATGATTGTTGTGGTTTTTTTGCCATGTGCTGAACTGTGTGGTTAAATGCTCATCAGCTGAGAATAATGATATCAAAAATCATAAAGAAATGACCCTTACATGAGAGAATCTGAGAGTAATCTTTGGAGCCAGAGGGAAAAAAAGAGCAGATCACCGCACAGTTCATAAATGGACACAAATACACACTTAAACACACAAACACATCATCATTCAGAGGTCATGTTATGTTTGAGTGAGTCCTAATCTGCTAAAAGCAGACAGGATCACAGGCATTAAAGACCACTCCTAAAGTCGTGTGCACACAGCAAACATGAGAACACACACAGCCTGACTTTCAGTTATTTTAAAGGTATTTAGGGGTGCATCCGTCAGAAATAATTCTGATAAAAGCATCTTAATAAACAAAAGAGGTGACCCAAAAAATGCAGTTTGTAAAATGAGTGTAAGTCAAACCAAATTAAGCTGAAATAAACTACCACAAAATCAGTTTTAACGCAAAGTTAGGTCGATCAAATACAAAGAAACTAATTATTTCACCTGAATTTCCACTTGAATTTTTCTGAACGCTCAATTTTAAAAGGCATTCCTCTCCTGTTTGAGCCTGCCTTCAAGAAACTAGACCAGCAGGTCTGAAAAATCATGTTACGTTTTTTTTTTTTAATATAGATGTGCCATGTTTGAGCCTGCTTAAAGAGGACACCCAAACCACTGCATTTCCAAAACCACAATCCCAGCCTTAGTTGGAAAATCAATTCACCAGAAACCTTTAGGTTCACAGACATGTTAATATTTCAGAGGAGAGAATTTAATTGGTCCACCTTCAGCTTTCTTAAGGACATAAAATATGTGCAATTCAGCTTTATTCAATATTCGACTCAGGAATCTGATACATATGAGCTGAAATCAACACAAATCTGACATCAGAACACTTCATTTCATTTGTCCACCGCAGTTCATCCAGCTAGGTTGCAAAGTGCCTCCTTTCACCGTTTTACAGCTCTCCACTGACTCGTAAGGTTCAATTAACCTCATTTTAGATGCTCACATAATTAAAGGCATCCATGACTGCTGAGAGTAAAAGGTTGAGAGGGCATTAATCAAGCTGCAAATTATCACCTGAAACAATCCATCAATTTAGCTCAACTGAAAAAGAGCTCATTTAAGCACGGGCCTATTGAATCAGATTGTTCAATCTTGAATTAGACTGACTAAACACTACATTATCTGTCACGCAGGGGATGGGGTCATGGAGACTATTAAGCCACTACTAGTATGTAAAGATTCATGGTGTGTGATGGAAGGATGAAGATCAACGGATGGATCAACGGATCGGGGTCTTGTCCTCAATAAGGGTGTTGCTTTGGTTGGTCGTGGTGAAGAAAGAGTTTAGCCGAAAGGCAAATTTCTTAATTTACTGCTTTGCCCACATTCCATCCCTCAGCTGTGGTCATGAGGTTTGGATCATGACTGAACGAACGAGAGCCCAGATCTTCTTTCGGCTGTCCCCTCTTCAGGGGTCACCACAGCGAGTCATCCTCCTCCATCTCACTCCGTCCTCTGCATCCTCTCACTCCAACTACTTCCATGTCCTCGCTAACTGCATCCATATATCTCCTCTTTGTCTTTTTCCAGGCAGCTGCATTTCTAGCATCCTTCTACCAATATACCCACTGTCCCTCCTCTGGACGTGTCCAAACCATCTCAGTCTGGCCTCTCTTTATCTCCCAGTTGTTCAACCTGTGATATAATTCTAATGAGCTCAACAAGATCCCACATACAAGCAGCCAAAATGAGCTTCATTCATATGACGGCCTTAAAGACATTGTGAGGAGCTGTCATCCCGGAGAAAGATGACGAGAGAGAGACACTGCATAGAAATGAGTCTGCTGAGGTGGTTTGTGCATTTGATTAGGCTGCCTCCTGACAATCAAGATTCTCCACTGGTATGCCGCAAGGCAACTTGCTGAAAGGATTAAATATCCGCTCTGGTCTAGGAACACCTTAGGGTCCCCCAGGAGGACCTGGAGAATGTCACTGGGGAGAGAGAGGTCTGGGTTTCTCTCCTGGACCTGTTGCTTCCCGACCCAACCACAGATAAATGGTAGAAAATGGAGAGATGGAGATGTTGGCTGGAAATGCTCATTCCTTGTTGGCTAGTGTTTTAAATTTTTCTGTGAGAAAACCCTTTCGTTATTAGAGAAGCTCTGCCTTGTAAAGAGCATTACCAAACACAGATTGCTGGTTAAAACAATGTTTCTTTATCTACCCTGAGGCTGTTAGACTCATGAATCTCTAACTAGAATAATCACTGTGAAAAACCATATGTTGCTGCTGATCTGTTTCATGTTGCTGCTGATCTGTTTAAATGTTGATGTGTTCATGCGTGCACATCTGCTCACAGACTCATGTTCATGTTTGTGCTGATGTTCAATGTTTTTATGTTATGAGTGCTTAGTGTATATTTAGTTGATGTTTTTCTTAGTTCATATCTTAGATGTTATTACTGTTTTTCTTATACAGTTTATTGTTGGATGTAACTGGGACCTTGTGTACATAATTTCGCTCCACCACATGTACCACATGAGGTGCGAATGACAATAAAGAAACTCTGACTCTGATATTAATGAATTTAAAACATGCGTTTGCTGGCTAATGAAACAAACACAGTGATTAGTGTCGATAATCTGTCTCCTTGAACTGTAGGCCGCAACAACAATTCTGACTAAACCAGACTGAGGAGCAAACATGAACTGAACAGACATTTCAAGTGACATGTCCTAGAATTGTGCCATTCATGGTAGATGCATGTTGGAGTAGCTCTGTCACTTTCATTCTGAGATTTTGCTTTTGGAAACTTTAATTCGTGGTTTCTGGATATATATAATAAATAAAGTTAAAATGCATCTCAAAAGCTCAAATACTATCTCAACTACAGCCCCAAATGAGTTGAAAAGGAGGCTCCATGGATGCTTTCCCGTCTACCTTTCCGGCTATGCTCG